TCATCTGATCTCTCTCCCAAACAGTTTTATCATATCACCAAGGGAGCATCGTCACAATATCTGTGACACGTTTTTTTTATGCCGACAGTTTCAAAATCTTAATTGTCCTTAAAAATAAAAACTATCAAGCCAAACAGGGCTTAAAAAAAAAAAGCTAAAAAAGTAAAGTAACTTTTCTCAAAAAGATAACAGCTTTTAACTTTGTTTATAGAAAACTTCCTCTTTAGCAGAGTTGGTTGCTGCTTGCAGACTTCCTGTGTGGCCATAGAGCTGTGTGTATTTATGTTCTCTCTCGGTAGAGGTGAAAAAACAGGAACCCTATATAAAAGTGAAATATCAAAACAAGAAGGATCATCAAGAGGAATTGTGGCCCAGATATATCATGTAATGTTTGCTGGAGCCTACCCCTTTCCCACTTCCCTTTATTTGTACAGGTGTCAGGGAGAGGCTGAACCTCCCAGTACAATTGTCCCCCCTTTCCCTTCCTCTCACTAGTCCCAAATACAAAGTCCAGGCCAAGAACTGATTAAACTATTGCAGTGTAATTGCTCGTGCCGGCTATGATTGTATAATTCGGACCAGGATTGAAAGACAACTTGCACGGTGGTGCTAGGCAGGTTTCATGAATTGTCTCAGTATGGGGGCTAGAAAGCCAGGGAGAACTATTGAGTCTGTCTATGTCTGGCAGCCTCAATAAAGAATTCATTCTATTTTCATTATAGCCAAATTCTATCTTACATTTACTATGAGCAATAAAGAACGAGTATCTTCATCTGTCTCACTCTCTCTAGGGTGTAGACTTTCAGGGATAGATTGTTGTATGTTTTAAAATCTGTGGCTATTTCTACACGACACGCTTCTTGCGCAAGAAGCCTTTTGTGCAAGAGTTTTTGTGCAAAAACTTCTTGCGCAAGACCACGTCCACACCTCAAAGCACATCGCAAAAGTGATGTGCTTTTGAGCAAGAGAGCATCCACACTGAATGGATGCTCTTGTGCAAGAAAGCTCTGATGGCCATTCACAGAATGGTCATGAGAGCACCTGTGCTTTTTCCCATAGGAAGAAACCCCTCTGGACCTTCCACACTTGCCTTTTTGCTTAAGAACACTTGTGCAAAAGGGAGTTATGCCTCATAAAAGAAGGTTTACCTATGGCGGAAAATCTGCCATTATACTCTTGATTTCCTTGTGCAAAAGTGCAGTTGAGGTGTGGATACTCCATGGGTTTTTGCGCAAAGCCAGCTGTTTTTGCACAAAAACCTTGCAGTGTAGATGTAGCCTAAGTCTTTTGTAATTCTGCCTATCACCATACTAAATCAGGGACATAATTTCTTCTTCTCCATTGATTCCAAGTTTTCTACTCTTTGGAAAATGACTGAATTGGAGTAGCTCAAAAAATTGCCATTTTTATGGGAAATTTGACACACAGTTTTCAGTTCCTCAATTTTATATTTGTTTGTTTAATGGAAAAACTTGAAGCATTTCAGTTGTCCAAAGCAGAAAACTTCTACCAAAAATTAGAACTGTTTTTTTTTTCCCCTAGAAAAACTGGCAAAGCTTTGATTAGATACATATTTTGGAAGAGAGACATTTTCTGTTTGTGGGGAAGGAAGTTGTAGCAGAAAACATTCGACAATCTCTGGAAATAATTCTGTGCTCAGAAAAGGGAAATGAAAATCATTAACTTTCCTCAGAAAGTTTGTGTGTTAGATACTAGGTGTTTCATAAATTATTGTCATGTAGGCCTTGTGGAGATTAGCGTTTTGTCCCCACCCTTTTCTAACTCATGGTTGCAATGGTGGAATCTCAAGTATGGTCCCATTGGTTCAGCATTTTAACCATCATCTAGACCTGCTCTCAGCAGGGGAAGACAGCATGATTATTAAAACACTTTTAATGGCTGCATAGTAGTCCCATGGTTCTCAACTGTGCAAACAAAATTCTCTCTCTCTCTCTCTCTCTCTCTCTCTAACACACACACACACACACACACACACACACACACACACACACACTCGCATCATGGTGCAGCAGCCTTAACTATTTTTTGGAGCAAAATGAATTTTTGGAAAGTGTGAGCGTTTTTTGTGGCTATCCAGAATCCTTGTCCTGAGGGCTTTTTTGCGAGGAAGAGAATTTGAGAGCTGACACTCAGGAACATAGCAGAGTTGTTCCCCATAAACTAAAAGAGTATTTACATGGCGCATCTAAACCAAAAACTTGCTTCCCTACTCCATGCAGTGATATAGCTCTGCTTGGGAGCAAAGTATTGGGTTTAGAGCCTT